GCGCGTGGGGAACAAGTACCGCCTGGGCCGCAAGATCGGCAGCGGCTCCTTCGGGGACATCTACCTGGGTAGGTCAGAGGTCAGAGGTCACGGCCGGGCCCGCCCCTTCCCCTTCCCTTCCTGTCCTGTCCTGCTGCACAGGGGTCAAGGGGTTTGTGGGGGGGGGCTTTTGTCAAGAGATAGTTCCCATTAAAACTGCAGTCGCTCTCCGGGTTTAAATGTAAAGGAAATCCCGGTCTGTTGTTGGTGAAGGTTTTAAAGGAACCCCTGCCTGTTTTTCACTCTGGGACGCCCCTCTTCCATCAAGCTGCTGCTGCTGCTGCTGATGAAGGCGGCCTGAGTGGCTGTAAACCCAGCCCGTTTTCGGGGGGTTGGTGGGCCAGACAGCCGTAGCAGCAGCCATATTTTCACTGGACTGTGCAGCCCAGACAGGGAGAGACAGACTTCATCAAGCTCAGCCAAGACGCGTGCAGAACACTTCCTTCAGTCTTCCCGCCCGCAGCTCAGAGAGAGGTTTTCCAGAGAGGTTTCCAGGGGCTCCGAACTCCTGCTCTCGTTGGGAAGAGAGGCACAAGGCCTGGGGGGCGCAGCAGGAGGCTGGGGTGCAGGAATAGCTTGGGAAGGGACCCCCTTCACGGCTGGTCTTCAGACGAGGCAGTACTGCACAGGGAGCCAGTGCGGGGACTTCAGCACAGGGGTTATGTGTTTGCCAGAATGGGAACCCCAAGGTGGAGGAAAATGCGGGGTGCAGGGCAGGCCACACTGTGAGCGGATCCCAGTTCCTCGAAGGGTTCACACACACACAAACCCCAATCAGCCGGGACTGCATGCCTTGGGAAGGTGGGAGACCCTCTTTGACAGAGCATGCAAACTCTACAGGGAAGAGGTCCCAGCCGGGAGGCCTGTGGAACTCAGCTTCCCTTCAGTCAGTCAGCCTCTCTCCATCGCTGTGTTTCAGGCGCCAACATTGCCACAGGGGAGGAGGTGGCCATCAAGCTGGAGTGTGTGAAGACCAAGCACCCCCAGCTCCACATCGAGAGCAAGTTCTACAAGATGATGCAGGGAGGAGGTGAGCTGGACTGGGGTGACCTGTCTCACCCAGTGCGTCTGTATGAACCCCTCTCTCTCAGTGCAGTGTTCGTGTACTGGAGTGTCCAGTCAGTGTGTCTGTATGAACCCCTCTCTCTCTCAGTGCAGTGTTCGTGTACTGGAGT